ACTCGTCCGCCGACGACGCAGCTGTAGTAAAGTAGTGTCATCTTTAGGTAAATAATTATAAAAAAAGCACTAGGAAGATGTAGCCGTAGCCCTAAGAGACTTTTAATGCCATGTTAAAAGGCCTTATTCTCGGCTGAAGTCTTTAATTGAGAAGCAAGAGGAATGCGTGGATGCTTGGATTGGCCCTAACACGAACTCACTTCGCCGAAGCAGGATGATAACCAAAATGTTAGTCGCTCATACATTACTATTGTGAAGTGTCAAAAAAAGTCGGCGTTAGAGTTGACAATGGCATAAGTGCGTAGTCATAAGCATGCAAATCTATCACTCGAATTTCTCTTTGGTACTGCATTGTAGCAGCTTGAGATTTTCTATTTAATAAAAAAGGTCCTTAAGTAGAGTTATGCTACTTATCTTTAGGGTGTAAGAGAAGAAGTTAGCCATGTATTTGGCCCGAAGACCGATCCAATTAGCCTAAAGCAGGGCGAATACCAAAATAATTATTGGTCATTTAGGCAGCTGTATAAACAAAACAACACTGACAATATCTAAACTATTTTCCTGTTCTGTTTTGTCCAACAATTTTGTGGCCTACTTATAGCGATTTTGTAATTGCGCTTCACTATTCTCCAGATGATATCGATTTTTTCCGTTTACTATGAATTAAGCTTTCAAGCCAACTATGCAGCGTCCCAAGACTTCCCACCGAGCGGAAGAAGGCAGTAATTGACGCAGGATACACGTATTCCAAAGACGACTGAGTAAATTGGCCCGAGCATGTCCCGAAGACTAGCCCAAGAGTACAAGGACCAGACAAATCCTAAGTGATCGCCAAACGTCACGTGATCACATAAACAAATTATTACAAATTGCTTTTAATTTATCCTTAATTAGTGTAGCTAACTGAGACTTTCCACTGGGCAAATGAAGCAGACAGGAGTTGTGCTCACTGCATGTGTTTTAGGAGAATGAGGGATGGGCTTTGGCTTTGCCTTAAGACTAGCCTACGCGTGCAAGGGCAAACTGAATATCATTATCACCGAAAGGCACCAGGCGGTCCCATAAACTAAGCATTACAATGCTCCTCTCTTCTTTTAAGTTGTCGTTGGCGCTGTCCTTGCTACACTTCCCTCACCAGACATCACAACATATCCGACGCCACACCGAAATATCTATGAGCCAATCACGCTAGGCTTCAGCCATCATTGGACTGAAGGATCGCACTTGACACTCCCAGTAGCTTCAACTCAATCTGCGGTTGCATTTGGTTTGACAACAGGAATGCGGGTTGCATAAATCTGCTGACCATTAATTGCTTCCATGGCTAGACGTTGGAACACTGGTCCGAAAGAGATGCTTAACGAAATAAAACTCAGCCCCACATATAAAGTTTACGGTGTAGTGTCATCTCCAACATCTATATACCTATGGAAGCAGGAGAAATCCGACATGAAACCTTTCCAGATAGTTCACGACGGTGTTGCTTCATTTGTTAA